ATGGTCTTCCATTTCCAGTTACACTTCTCAGTTACCCATCATGAAGACCTGAATTGTACTAAACCCCTCTTCTCTACTCCATTTTCCTTTCATCTTTCACTGCTTTTATCATCCTTCATTTCTACTTCTGTATTATCTATCTCCTCGGCTCTCTTCTCACTTTTCAAGAGAGGAGGTGAAACTTCACAGATCTTCTCTAAACTCTTGGGGACAGGTGGGAAAGTACCTACTACTGTCTTTTCCTCTGGAGTATTTTTAGCTTTTCAATTCTCAGAGTGAATTACACCAATGCTTTGTTTTCTCTTTTTCCCATCACTCACTCTGAGCACTCTGATGGCTCTCAAGTCCTCTATCCCCCATTCCTCTTTTTTCTTGACAAAATCTATTTGGACCCTCACTAACCCAGGATCTGTGAGACCAAATCCAATCTGGCTGCATAGTTGCAGCGCTCACAGGAAGCTGCAGACCCTACACCTAATTTTTGTTTGTTCCTTATGGCTAATTTTCCTTTGTCACTCAAATTATGCCACAATAGTTGGGTGGGGGAGTGAGAGTGGAGAGATATTTAAGTTGGGTTAATATGGTCCTTCTGAGGGTAGACTACAGGGCTGAGGAGCTGTTGGTGGTAGCTTTGCTGCTTTTCAGCTCTTCAGATGCTCAAAACAACTCTGGAGGAGCAGAAGCTATCATTAGAAAGCTGCAAGTGAAATAATTATATATACATCTGGACAAACAGCTTTTTTTCTGAGGCTTGTATAAGACATATCACAGAGCCTTGGTTTTGAGAGGGAATGGACCCAGTTTTCTGGAAAACGAGACTTTTTTCAGGGTTGGTGAGATGCAGGCTGCAAATTTAGACATCTGAAATCAATCACGGATCACTTTTGAAAATCTTGATCAAAATGATCACAGGGACAGGCATGAAATAGGAATCCACAGGCACCAGCAGCACAGGCTGTTTGTTATTACAGATGATCACTTAGCACAGGTTGTTCTAATTCAGGTCAAACAAAGCTAGTCCTGAAGTGATGTATTTCTTAGACTAGCCTGCGTGCATCTGTGCCTTTGCACATGTGTGCACAAACAGAATTGGTAATTGTTTATAGAAAATAATATGGCCAGAGGATACCTTGCTGTGCCAAGTGGGACCTGTTTTTCTTTCTCATGGAGATACAGGGGATTTGGGTTGTGATTTCAGTTTGTTTCTCCTCAGAAAAGTAAAGGAGTACTGAATGGCATGGGGAACAGATAGGAGCAGAAAAGCAAATGCTTTGGGCTCCCAAAATATTTGAAAGCCCTTACTTGTGTTGCATACTAACCCACCGTGGGTAGTTCAGGGCTGAGTAGGGGACCTGCAGAGAGATCTGTAGGCAGAGGCTCTGATGCTCTAATATGGTATTGTCTTGGCTTCGCAGGAAAAAAAGCCAGTACCTCTGGAAACTGAGATTTGATTTTCCACGGATGGTCAATATGAGTCTCGACTTGCTGAACTTTCAGGGCCTCTCTCTGTTTCTGGAATTTCTAGCATTTCTAGTTTTTCCAGTACTTAGCTCTACCTGATCCCACTGCAGAGGATTGTTTTGGGGAAAAAAACACAGCAAACCATGATAGTAAATATTTGAGGGAGATCTAGTGCTGTTCAGCATGAAGAAAAGAAGGTTTTGGGGAGACCTCATTGCAGCTTTCCAGTATCCGAGGGGGGCATATAAGGAGGGAGAGAGACTTTTTATGTGGGCAGATAATGACAGGACAAGGGGGAAGAGTTTTGAACTAAAAGAGGACACGTTTAGATTAGATGTTATGAAGAAATTCTTTACTCAGGGGGTGGTGAAACACTGGAACAGGTTGTCTGGAGAAGCTGTGGATGCCCCACCCTGGAAGAGTTCAAGGCCAAGCTGGAAGGGAATTTGAGTAACTTGATGTAGTGGAAGGTGTCTCTGTCCATGGCACAGGTGAGCTGGAACTAGATGATCTTTAAGGTCCCTTTCCATTCTCTAATTCCATGATTTTATTGTCCTGTCCTATGCAAACACCTGCAGAGAGGAAGGCATTTGTTGTATGCAGCAATTTAAAAAAAAATGCACTGGCTGCATAAATCCCAAACACTTTATTACATATCCCCAAATCCCAGAAGGATATCCTTGGTTTAGCAGTAGGAGCTCTTTTTGCATCAACAGAGTCTGTTGCAAGGACTTTATGAAAAAGTAATGACTGAGGGTGTAAAATTTTTATTGCAGAACTACAGTCAAAACAGCCTACATTGTGCCTACTATCCTGGTTTTGGCTGGGATAGAGTTAATTTTCTTCTTCATTAAACCATTACACCAACCTATTAGGAAAATGGGGCTGACTGGCAGAAAGACGTGTGACTAAAGACGTGTGACTAAGATGTGTGACTAAAGGCTGTGTTTGATGCAGGATCAGATACTTTGGTGTTTGGGCTTTTTGCAGACACAGTAACAAATGGAAAAGGCAAACAGATGCGGCTGTCATCTACATACCCCTATTTTGAGGATTAATACCATGTAGAGGTCACATTTCTACCCGTTTTTCCTCTCTATTTTATCCATATTTTCTTTCCCTCGTGCTCCTCACCCCATCCAAAATAATAGAATTAGATGGAGCAGGGTCATGTCACTTCTTGGTTTATTATGCTGCTAACAGAGAAACACAAACAAGCCATGCTGCATTTTGCTCCTGAGACTTATTCTTAAGAAAACTGTTTCTGCTCCCAAGGAAGTCAATGAAAGTCTAATTAGTCCCAGATGTTTAGTAATAACAAGCATTTCCTATTGGGAGACCCAAATAAAAGTAGCGTTAAAACCATTAATTAAATGGGTTTGGCTCTGTCATCAGATATTTAACTAATTCCAACTTGATGCTAATCAAGCTGACTGGCTCTCAGAAGGAGATATGTTTGCCATGCTCGACACAAAAGCTGTGAACTCAGTGTATGGCAAATCAGCCCACATCTGGGCACAGAGCTCAGCTTGCCTTCACACACACACAAAGGAAAAGCTCATTAACTTCAGCATCAGGCTTCCCTGCAGCTACCGCTTGTGCAAACATTTTCCTACAAGAATAAGGTCTTTAGCCAATGATTAGCACGAGCTTTTGTAGATGTTTTATCAGGCCCCACTGCTGCTGATGGTTTGTGCGAATTTGTAGAATCTCAGAATCACAGAATGATTTGGGTTGGAAGGCACTTTCAAGACCACCTAGTTCCAACCCCCTTGCCATGGGCAGGGACACCTTCCATGTTGCTCAAAGCCCCATCCAACCTGCCCTTGAACACTTCCAGGGATAGGGCTGCCACAACTTCTCTGGAAAATCTGTTCCAAACTTTTGCCTACATCTTCAGTAGATCTTGTTCTCCACTGGCCATACTCTGAGATATGGAGCAGCTGCCCCTGCTCCAAGACCAGGAGGTAAAAGGTGAAGTCTGAATACCATAGAAAAATATAAAGGCTTTTCTTTTAATCTATGGAGCGTTCCAAGCTGGTGGTTTAATATATTCACAACCCTGTGCTTTTTATTAAGTTCAAAGATATTTTTTTATTGTACAAAATTCCACAGTGAAAATCACCAGCCAGTTTCTTACATAAATGCTTTAAAAAAGAATTATACACCTTTTTGTAGTGTGTTAATTTTGACATTCACTGGCTGGAAAAAATAGGTATGGAGCAGCAATTTGGCTCTGAGTTATTTACTTGGAGAGGTTTCAGTTTGACCTCTATTACTCTTGTATGTTTTAATGTACATTTACAGGCATTAAAAGAAAACCTGACACAGTTCCTTTCAAAGCCATTGAACCCTGTTAGCAGGTCAGTCTCCCCCTCTTGCTGAGCTTTTCTTAACTTCAAAATGGTTAATTTTCTGTCATGGTTTAGAACACAAGGTATGTCAGTGTCAACTTTTAGCAACAGAACACGTTAGCCACCTTAAACCCATCATAGAATGAGGATCTATGTAACTTTTCTTGCAGCCCATCCTATAGACCATAATATCTCTTTAGGGAGAGACAGTTGACATCTGATCTGAATAATGTCTCAGGACTAGGTTCCCTGTGTATCATTTCAGAATGATATTTTTAAAGTACCTTTTTGTAGACTAAATCCTGTGACCTTTAAAAATAGATATATTATTCTTCTGCATTGAAATGCAACTGTATGTAGTGAATTGCCAACAGTTTTCCTCAGAAATAAAAAAATTTCAGTCCAATGATAGCTGGTTAAAATTCATCTCCAAGATTTTTCTTTTAAAAAAATGTTCACCCTGGAGATTAATTTCTTCACATTAAACTTGGTTAAATATGCATTGCACATGAGGGGCAAATTTCTCCTCTTTTAGTTGAACTGTAGACCTGTGAGCTTCTGAGAAGATCTGGGTAATGTATAGTGCAGTTGTTTCTTGCTTGAGACTTCTTCTACATCGCTCATGGGTAATAAGTTCCAGGACTAATTGACCTCATATACTGCTCATGTCTTGCCCTTGTGACTGGAGCAACATCCTAACAAACATTTTCTAGATTTTCTAGATGGCAGCCACGAGCACAAGAGCACAACAGACACGAACTGTAATTTCCTTTTTTTTTTTTTTTTTTAGCTAAATTCTCATTGGTTTGGAACTCTTGGGAAATTTGCAACCAACTTCAAGGAGTGAAGATTGTGTTTTGACCCACTCTGGTATATTTTGGTATGATTTCAGTCTAAGAAGTGTTAGGACCTAACCACTTAGGAAAAAACAAAGCTCAGACCAGACCAAATCAAAACATCTTATGGAGGCACATAACTTTGAGAAGCAGTTTCCTACGTGGCTGATGTAATCCATGAGCTTTGAGCTTAGTGGAAAGTCTCAGGTCTCAAGACCTTAGAGGGCTTTTTCTTTCGGTCTGGTTTAAATTACACACCCCTCAAAACAGCAACAGCACTTTACAGTGGTCTCCTCTACCACTGTATGAACTTGTTAAGCAGATCTGCATGTGAATGAAACAAGTGCAAAACATGGCAAATTCTCCTTCTGGTCCCTGGAACCCAGACCACTACAGGGGCACTTCAAAACCATCTTAAAATCCACAGTTAAAAATCAAAGATGAGAGTTTCACCCTTTATTTATACACACTGCCAGTGTAGCACCTGATTTCTTCAATTTTCAAGGCATTTTGTGATTCTATGCTTTAAACTGATGGCTGAAGTTTTGCCTGCGGAAGCAAAAAAATGAACCTGCACCGATGATAATCACAGATAAAACCAACACAAATGTTAATATAACAAGGATGTTGATTTTCTTCAGATCCTCTTTTTCACAGTCTTCTGATCTAATGTTCCAAATGTACATTTCTTCCTGATACCCGAAGTTCTGAGTGTACTGGCACGTTAAGTGCTCCACGTTGGGGATCTGGACATTTTTGTTCTGTATCATTGATGAAAGCCAGATGTTTCCACAGCAGTCGAGTGGGTTCCCAGTGAGATATAAGTTTTTAAGTGAATTTTCTAATGCTAAAATGTTGCTGTTCTGTAATGTACTGAACTTATTGTTCCGTAGGTCCAGAACTTCCAGTGGAGAGTCACTACCCCACTTAGGCAGCCAGTTCAGCTGATTTTCAGAGAGGTTTAAATGTTTAAGGTGACTAAAACAAGGCAAGTCAATATTTAAATCCATCAAGCTATTTCCATGTAAATACAAATATTCCAGAGACTTTTCCAGTCCTGACAGTGCTTTAAGTTCTATTTTCAGTCCAGGGTTCATGGTGAGATCTAAGACAATCAGAGAAGTCTTGTAGAAGCTGTGTGCTGGTAGGGTGTTCAGCATGTTGTCAGCTAGGTACAAGTACTGAAGAGTAGGAGAATCAACAAATGATACACAACCACTTTCCTCTCCAGCAAGTCTTTGCTTAGCTAGTCCGGAGTACATGCTGCAAAGGCTGATGTTGTTGCTTTGTAGATTAAGCAGTCTGAGGCCAGGAAGACTGGAGAAGATGTCAAATTGCAGGGTCTGAAGACGGTTATTCTGAATATAAAGCTCCTTCAGATTGGACAACACACCAGCATCAAGGAGAAGGTTCTGCAAAGCATTGTAGCTCAAGTCAAGGACAGTTAGGGACATTAATGCATTGTCATAAGTTACCAAAAATGCTTGGAGACAGTTTTTACTGAGATTAAGGGTGTGAAGGGACAACATTGATTCAAAGAATTTATCAGGAATGGATTTGATTTCATTATAACTTAAGTCTAAATATACAAGCTGGGATAAATAAGGAGAACTTATGTTTCTACTTTGCTTCTGATCAAGAAGATGAAAAGAACCATCTAGCCACTCATTTTCCATGTAATCCTTTTTATTATGAGGGGATTCAGTAGTGAGCTGGATTAAATTATTTGATAAATTCAGAGTTACCAGTTTATTTACCTGAGGGAAGACTGGGAAGTGAAGCAATTTGTTTTCACTCAGATCCAGACATCTTAAGCTATATTCATCATCTGACTTTGTGATGTGGAAGGTCTCAATGCTATTCCTGCTAAGGTCAAGTATCTCCAGCTGCCTGAGGTTGAAATCGGAGATGCAAGTAATTGAATTTGTGGAGAGATTGAGTTTGGAAAGGTTCACTAGAGTCTCAAAAGCACCTTCTTCTATTTCCATGATGATATTACTCTGAAGATCTATCTCCACAAGACTGGGAGATCCCTGAAACATCTTGTGTGATATCATTACAATACTGTTGTCTGCCAAGGAAAGATACTGCAGTGTTGGAGCTTGTTTAATGAAATACTCAGCCATCCCATTGTACAGACTGTTATGCGACAAGTCCATTATTTCCACCTTGGGTAAAAGTCCAATCCCCTCTGTTCCATTCTGAGCAAGCTCATATAAGTGATTCTTGGCTAAATTTATTTCCAGCAAGCTTGTCATGTGTGCAAACACTCCAGGCGTGATGAAGCTTATCTGGTTAGAGCTTAAATCCAGACACTGGAGGGAAGTGTAAAGTGATAATGGCATTTCAGGGATGCTTTGAATCAGATTTCCAGACAGATCTATTTTGTTTACATTTAGATGGAGCTCATGAGGGATTTGGTGGAGGTCTTTGTTGTGGCAAAATGCCTGTGAGTTTGCCTGCCAGAAAAAGAGAGAAGAGGGGCTGTCACACAACAAATGAAAAACATGGTTGCATTAAATACAAGGAAAATAACATTCAGCATCCAGGCAGGTCTTTCTTCTGAAACACTGATCACACCACTTTCTCTGAGCACTCAGACAGCAAGAACAACAATCCTAACACTTCTTTGCAGCTAACAGCACTCATTTCATTTTAAAGACATTTCTGACTTACAACAGTAGCATTTTATCTGCATGTGATACCTACAAAATGTTCTCCTTCTTGTACCTTTATCCTGGATTCATTTTAATAGTCCCAAGTGAAGAAGTTTTGCCCTTTTTTTCATTGCAATCAAGCACTATTTATTCATTTTAGTTCTGATGTTTAATTTTCTTACTTTTGTCATTGCATCGGATTTTTCAAACTCTACTTGAAATATTAAGTACTACTTAGAAGAGCTTCACTCTGTTGGCAGCATGGGTCCCAAAGCAAAGAAGTGGAAAAACATAAAAGGATCCTATAGCCCAAACCCTGTCTCCCCTTCATATTCATATCCTCAGATATTTGATCATGTCTTCCTTTAGCCATGGCTTAGTTAAGCGATGCGTCTTTAACCAAATCGGTCATTCAACAACTGAAGTATTTCTGATGAAAATCTCTAAACTCTTCTGCTTTTACTATCCGTGTTTACCCTTTTCCTAAGGCTCCAGTTTCCTTCTTCTTGCGTGGGGAGCACACCTTGTGAAACCAGCCATACAAGACACGCATGATACAATATGGAAAAGACAAATTATGTAAAGCCAGCTTTTGAGAGGGAAAAAGCTGTGATGTGCAGTGAGGGTCATGTCTTTTCAGGCCAATTCTCAGCAGCAGATATATGAAAAAAACAAGCATCAAAATCAAATTTATCTTCCAGATGCAAGTCTGTTTAATGGCAGCTAGGATTGAGTCTGTGCCCAGACCAAAGTTTAGAGTGTGTGTTCATCAGCAAGATCAGAAACATGAACATGACCATCCTTGCATAAATGTCAAGCTATATTTTGTTATTAAGGAGAACATACAGCAGTGTGAGGAAGTGGAATGTGAAAGGCTTAAGCAGCATTTAATTCACTGGAGGAAAACTCTTGTTATGAATATATTTGGGTGTCTGGGGCATACAGTGTTCATGAAAAGATCAGAAAAGAAAGAAGTAAAGAAAGAAATCTGTTGAATCTTAACTTCAGTGGAGAAGCAGAATCCAGATTCCATGACACAATGCTTTTCAGACATTAAAGAAACATTTAAAGTAAAAAATATTAAACCCCTTCTGTTTCATGTGAACTTTGAGGTGAATTAAGTGGCAGATCTGTTTAGGAGAAGTGGGGCACTAGTCAATGTTTTGTGAATCTCTTTTGCATCATCTGAATTTTGGAGACCACACAAAAATATGCCAGAGAAGCGTTAAGTGCTTATTCAAACTCTAGATATATACAGACTGCTCCGATTCCTTCATGTGATATATCTAATCCCAAAGATCCCAAGTAATTGACTATTAAACCCTGAACACCTTCCTTTTTTTTCCCCTCCAAGTCACTTAAATCTCACCCAGATAAAAAAATTGGGAAAAAAAGAAGGAAATCTTCTGGCTTCTCCCTGAAATTATTTCTTTACTGCAAAGTCCCCATAGAATTGCTCATTTTGAGCTAAAATATGCCCTGAGTTGGCTTAGCTCCAAGGCACAAGAAGGAAGCCTCTTCTTGTTTGGTTTGTTGAAGAGGAAGAAGCCAAAAGGATACAAAAATACAGAGTGAAAGCAGCAGGTGCTTTGCAGCCTAAGGCAGATGCCAGGTTTCTTCCCACACTTTGAGCCAGATCTCAACAAGTGTTAAACCCCCTCCACGCCTTGTGGGCAATGAGCATCTTAGCAAAGTCCTGATCCAACTCCTGTTGATGCCAGTTGGCAGGTTTTCACTGAAGTTGATGGGTGAGAAGACAGTCCCAGATCACCAAGTATCTTACAGGATTTGGCCTTTAATTTACATCCATGGAACCTTCCCAGTAATAAAAGAGACTGATCAAATCTGTACCTCCCACTGTCTGATATTTGTTCTTATAACATTTCCCCTCTCATTATTTTTTTTAAAGTTTCATTCCTTTTCACTGACTGTTTTGATCCTCACCAAATTTCTTATCTTTTGCACCATCTTTTTTCCCCTGAGGCTCAAACAGCATGAATGTCATTCTCATCAGCAGTAGAAAGAAAAGATGAAGTACATCTCAGTGGATTGGAGCAAACAGCATCTGTTTGATATATCTCTCCTCCTCTCACCTCTTAGCCCAATGGGTTGGCAGCCTGAGACTGGAAAAGTCTCAGGCTTTTTTTTCCTCATGTTCTGACTTCATCATCTTTGCCACTGCTGTCATCAGTTTATTCCACATCCATTGGCAAGAAGTACTGCAGGGTGAGGAGCACTTGACCCCTTCAGTGTCTGGTCCCATTCATGTGCTGGCAAAAAATGACCCAACAGTTCAAAAGCTGAGCATCATTTGGATTCTGACTCCAATTCTTCACTGCTCAGCACTATGTGGAAGTTGTCATTCACCTTAGTAAGAGCCCTACAAAAAAGTGGCTGGATCCAAGCCTTCACTTGTGTTCTATGTTATCAACTTATGAACATGTGAACCAAAGAATTTGGGCTGGAGCCACTTGGCAATGACCTGCACTTGAATGGTCTCCATGACTGTTCTCAGAAGAACTCCCCAGCTACACAACCAAACCTTAGCAGTTTGCCCATGTACCCCACATCAGCTGGCCTATAATAACCAGTTACGCACATATTCTTGCATCACCTCAATGCAAGGTAAAATAGAATTCCCTAAAATCCTCTCCCTTCTATAAATTATTTCAAAGCTTATCCTTTGCCAGTTAACACGAAATAGCAGAAACATCTTTCTTTGGGATGTGAACGTGATCTAGTTGAAGCCCTACCTGCCTGTGGAAGGCAACATGAGTTAGGAAGAAGCTCCTGACATTTAAGCTGTGCCTTGTTGTCTTGCAATAAGTAGATGTGCCATAACTGGTACAATCAGTGCATGTCAGTCCTTTGGGGGGGGGGGGGGGGGGCTGGTAGGAAGTGTTCAATTCCTCTTTTAGGACTCTAGTTCAATGACAGGAGCACTAGTGGTGAGTCAGAGAAGGGCATAAGTTTCTCATTCATCCCTCTTCCAGGAGACTTGGGATGAAAGTTTCCATTTCTGAGTTTTTGCTCTTCTAAAGTGTCATCACAGGGAAGGTATCAAGTAGAACAGTAAGGCTGTGACGAAAAATGATAATGCAGGACTTCAACGGACCATCAGTTAATCCAGTAGCTCCCTCTTTCTTTAAGTTTTGTTTGGATTTACACCCACCTTCCATTGGACCAAACATCGTCTGAAGGAAGACAATCAGAAAGGACATTAGCAGGGCTGAGCCGTTAATTTATATCAGATGAGCATCCCAGACCTTGACTGCAGTGTGTTTTCTGTCAGAACTAAATTTATCCCAGTTTAGCTGCACACAGCCCTGGTTTGTTGGCTTGATGAAAGCAAAGGAGTGGTGGAAACAAGCATGTGTTTACTCCTCAGCAGTCAGCCTGGTCTGTGACCCATCAAGAAATGAGAGGGGATGAATCTACTTGGGTTATTGCACGTCTTGCCCAGCCTTCATATGACTATGATACATGGGACCCGAGCTGACATGTTGACAGTGGCTTCATCAGTCTTCCTTCTCTAGCCAATGAGCTGAGATGCCCAGACACCTTCCCAAGATCTTTTTATATATACTAGGTCTTAATTCCTTTGGAATTCAGGAAGTGCAGCAAAACATCAGGGTGGACAGGAATGGAATGAGTCCCATAAGGGAGTTCTGTACAGCTAGCAAATAATTTTTTTCCCTATTTTGGAAATTCTTGAGGATTTGTGCTGAACAGCTTCAATGTTCAGGAAAAAAAAAGTTATTCTTAAATGGTCTGTTACAATCAGAAGCACTTTGATAGGGAAGGGAGAAAGTTCAGCTGTGAATAACATTCATAGTACTGTTTCAGGTGCTCACAAAAATTCAAGGAACAAATTTTGTACTAGGTCAAGAGGCTTTGTCACTTCATTTCCCTCCAGCAGAAGTCAGGTACAACTTCCCTGGCAGCAATGCTGTGTCAGGGCACAGGAGGTCAGCCTCCCTGTTATTACAAAAGGGCTAGTATAGATGCATTTCACAGAAGATACTTTATTTAAAGCACAAAGAACATGGGCTTGATACAAAGGAGTTGATTTTAGGTCCAAGTTCTTTCTCTGTCTCAGTCACAGAATCCCTGTCTGGTCTTGGGGAATTCAGGTCAGCTTTCTTTTAGCCAGCTCCCCCTTAGAGAAAAATGGAGATAGTGACCCTTCTTCCAACCTCACCCACTCCACCTCTCTTATGTGCTGTCCCTACAACAAGGACACAGCCCAAATCCCATCTCTGCCATCATGGAGAGTCTGGTCCTGGGGGATTCCCATTTTCAGAGATTATAGCTGTTTGTACAGTGCCTGTAACAAGGCAGTCTCAGCCTCATTTGGGATTTCAAGGGGCCTGAGTAAAGCCTTACCATTTCACAGGATGTCCCTTCTGCGGTTCTTGTGTTCACCACTGCCAGTAAGAAGATGATGTACAGTTTCATGGTTCTGCAGGTAAAATTAATTACTGTTAGATTTCAGCTAGGACAGAGTGGTTAACACATGTGAAAGCTGGCACCAGATCATCGTCAAGGATGGAGATGGACAAGCAGTGCAATAAATCAACTCATCTCTGAGCTTAACGATTTACCTCTGTAGCCTTGCATTCCTTCGAGTCTGGTGGGAAAAGAGATTTATATGAGCACTTGAAAGGAAGGTCCAAGGCATTTAATGGGTTTGTCCCAGTGTGATTTCAGCTGCTGCCTAGATGATACTCAGGCCACCCAGTGAAGTCCAGATGCTCATGCTGGGCAGTGTCTGGCATCATGGAGAAGGACAACCACTCAGGACTGAGTTACCCACACTCTCCCCATAGAGGCAGCTCAGGTGCTTTCCACTAGGCTGAAGTTTTGGGGTTCTGACTTTTGGGGTTTTTGAAGTTCTGAGCGAAGTGAACAGGCACCTCTCAGAAACAACTACCATTGGGAACAGTTTCCACTTCTATCCACAACATTTTCTACTCATCTAGTCCCAGGGTACCAAAGAGCTTTTACATGTTCATCCTTACTGAGTTAGTACAAGCAGCTTAAAGAATGGACAGAGAACTTTTTGTCCAAATTTTAGTTTTCTAACATTTTTTACTAGTTTTTTACACATCTCAGGTCAGGGCAGGCTTTTAAATGCATCTGAAAGGAGATCATAGAATAATTTGGGTTGGAAGGGCCTTTAAAGGTCACCTAGTCCAACCCCTCTGCCATGGGCAGGTACAGATGCCTTACAAAGAGACAAATATGAAATAGAATGCATTTGTGTGAATCAACGGATTCATCAGAGTTTAACTGTTTGGAAAACACTACAGGAAAGAGCATAGAAATAACTGCAAAAGGAGCAAAAAACCACTGGGAGGCCTGTCACTGGGCAATGGGAGAAAAATACAACCAAAGCCAAAGGAAAGCATTCCTCCTCCAAACAGCTTGTTTCTAGACAGACACTAATGAGGTCTCTTGCTGTGGTCAGCACTGATGTGAGCTCAGGATATCACTTCTTTATGTCAGCCTGTCGCAAACATGTGGACTCTGCCTGTGTTTGTATGGCTTCTTGCTGACAGATCTGAGCTGGTCTTGTCTGCATGCAGAGCCAGTGAGACACACACCCTTTCACAACTGGAAGCCATGCAGCACTGCTTAGCTAGCACCACTCTTAAGTTGTCCCAGGAACAAGCCAGGATCTGGTAAGCTCCAAACACACACCAATCCCATGTACATGAGCCAGAAAAGTCCTGCATCAATGGACTGTTACTCAGTGGCTTCTATCTGGAGAGCATCAGGAGGCTGGAAACAAAAGAGATAGGATCATTCCTGGCTGGTGTAAATCCCTCTGCTTAGTCACTTTTTGAGGGAAGCAGTGGATGGCCATGGTCTTTCACAGCAATAGCAGTTGCTGAACAGTACTGCCAACAGGTTCATGATGGGAACCTGCCCACTCCTCCTCTTCCCTGCCAGAGAATAGAGTTGTGTACTAGGAATAGAGAAACTGGGTAGGATTAGACCACAGCTACTCTATTTACAGACTGTAAACTCCTTTCATTTCACAATAACAACCAGTGACAGATGATAATCTGGGACCCCAAGGTGAAAGAATTTGGAGTTTGTCTTTGGTTGTCAGTAGTGGTATCAGAAGTGTGCTCCTCCACTCTAAAAAACATCAATGATGTAAATTCTTGACCTTTTAATTAATGTTTGCAAAATACACTGAAATCATCCTGTGGAAGGAGGAATTGCTGATGCCACTACTCATACTGCCTCTGTCTCCCCCCTCTGTTCCTTATCCCCCATGTTTAGAGGAGTGGATGCCTCCTAAAGAGTAGAAAATTAGTTTTGTCATTTGAGTATTAGTTTGCTGGCATGGAGAGAAAAGACAAACATACCACTGCTTACAAGGCTTTACTAAGAGCCCTCAAAAGGAAAAGCTTTCTGTTTAGCTGCGATGAATTAAGCTGAGGATATTACCCACAACAGGACACCACCCTGCTGGACAGTATGTGACCCATGCACTCTGCAATGTCTTCCCTTGTCACACCATCAGTAAAAAAAAAAAAAAAAAATCATCCCTTTGCTTCTTAAATAGTAAACCTGACACACTCGGGGATCTTAACATGCTTTGAAATTTCCTGCATTTCAAGTTTATAAAGCAACTGGGGAATTGATATATTTAAACACAAAAATCTGATGTAATGGCTTGCTGTGTAAGACAGATCTGTAGTAAGCAAGGATGCTGTCTCTCAAGGTGCTTCTAAGGTGACTGTCACACCCTGAAGCAGTAGGACATAGTGGTCTCTTCCAATATGAGACCACATGGACTCTGACCAGAGTAAGGTAAGACACTCGTCATAGAATCATTTAGGTTGGAAAAACCCTGTAAGATCATCAGGTCCAACCATTAACCCAGCATGGCCAAGACCCCCACTACACCATGTCCCCAGGTGCCACATCTACACATCTTTTAAGGCTATTTCCCCCTGAGCTGTCATGATACACCCCAAGCTCCTTGAACATGAAGATTCCCTTCCCAGGGTGGTTTTCAGTTCTTGTCCAGCTGAGGAGCTTTTCCTGATTAGCTTTTCTCCAGACAGCATTTAGACCTTCCTCAGTAACACCTAGTGTGACACAGCACTGCGTCCCCCTCCTCTCTACCTTCTGGGCAGGTCTGAACAGCCCCCCGCCCTTCCCCCAGCGTTGAGCTCAGGGCTCACAGGGCCTGCATTACCCTGGTGTCAGAGAGCATCACCACTAAGCCCTGCCTGCTGGCACTGATGTCTGTAACCACAGCTTACAAAAACAATCTGGGAGCAGCAGTAGCAACAGATCAACCTAAAGGAGCTTTTACTGCTCTGAACCTTTCTCAGACTTGAAGCAGCTTCTTGCTCAGTGTCACTTTGCTCCCACTGGCAGTTGTGATAAAAATCCCAGCATACCTGAGAGCAAGACTGAACTCTGAAACCTATTGAGTGTCACTGCTTTCCATCACATTACTTCAAAATCACCCATCTCCAGCTGAAAAATATAAGTGGGATCAGTGAACATCATCCCCAAGGAGTCTTATTAAGTGTGTCAAACAATTTAATGTCTGGAAAAAGCATGGTACGCAAACCACGTCAGCATGTCCGCTTAACAAATGGAGGGCAAAGGCAGAGAAGAACAGTCATTTGCCTCAAGACACATTTGAAACCATGGAATAACTAGGGTTTAATCCCAGTTTTCCCATTTCCCATTCCCGAACAATACTTGTCTCCATCCCTACTACAATAATAACCTTGAAACTACTTTATAGATGTTGCTTGCAGCTAGTAACAGCAGCACTTTCCAAATTTCTCCCACAGGTAATTTTTGTTACTGCTTAGACAATTAACACAGATGTCTTCCTGTGCCAAGGAGAGTTAAATACAAGAGAACACACAAAACACAAACCAAACTCCCCAGGGTCTGATCCTTTTCCACACAAGACTTTTAACTGCCAAGTTAGAGCCCTCAGGGCTAAAAAGATGGAATATTTCACATTTACCTTGTTTCAAGGTTTTCTTGCATCCTCAAACACCACTTACTATCTCTTTAAAAACCATATCCAGATCTTCAAAATGGATTCAGTCCTGGCACCAATGGAATTGTTCTTCAACTTCTCAGGATGCCAAGATATTCACTCATAAGTTCAGAACAGAGGCATTTTTAGTGAAATAACCTTAATTGGAACAGTGTCTGTTTTAATTATGCTGCTTGTCTTTCTCCACACTCCTCTCTGAATAGAGTTGCCTGCTGTGCAACATCCTGAAGCCCTTCCTTGGGACAGGAGTTGAGAAATGGGGAGATTTTTGCCAGAGGAACTGCCACGACTGGGCCATGGGTTTAGCGGGGGAATAAGTGACTTATTATTGCCACTGCCACTGTCTGTCTGCATGTGTGAGGCACGGCAACGTGTTTACTTTAGGGTTTTGTGTCTATGAGTTACATTCCTGGGGGCATTGTGGCCTCCTGAACCTAAATCTCTCTCTGCGTCTTTAGGGAAACAACACTTGAGGATTAAAAGTTTAAAATTCATGGTTGATAAATATAAAGCCCAGAATTCAGAAACCTGTCCTGGACTAAAGAACTCTTTTTCTTTTCAGAGATGGACTCTTAGCATCTCGTTTGCTTTGCAATGCACTCTGAAATGAGAGGCATAAATTGTAGAATCATAAAATCACAGAATAGTTTGGGTTAAAAGATCATCTGGTTCCAACCCATCTGCCATGGACAGGGAGACCTTCCTCTAGACCAGGCTGCTGGTTTAGTTATGAAGATGTTATGAAAAAAACAACAGGTTAGGTCATGATTATGTGCAATGGACAGAAAAATCCTGTCCTAGTTAGAATAGCTGGGACCAGTTCATCACTGTGTGGATGTAACCCAAACTGTGTATTCTACACCCTCCATGTCATTTCCCAGAAACTGTTAACAATAGACCATTTGCAGCAGCTGCCCAGAGCACATCTGACCCCTCAGGCTATAAGCTGGGTGTTAAGAGGCCTGTGAGATAGGAGGATGTTCTTGTTCTCATACTCACGACTCACAATCACTCATTGTGGAACTGCCTACCCTGGGGGAGGTACTGGGCATTCCTGCCTGAACCTGAGGGTATATAGTCTTGGGGTCTTGGGACTTCTGATACCACTTATGAGATCCAGAGGAAGACCAGAACCTCGACTGGACTGCAACCATCACTCACACCAACAGGTTTTTCCTCTCCTTTTACTTTTGGACTCTAGGGATCATGTGGGGCTCAGCACGGAGGCCAACAAACACCATTCTGTTTGTGCCCCAGGGTGCTGGGTTATACATCTGGGTTTTGTGGGCTAAAACCAATTGTTCATCTGAATAATTGTATTTATTTTATTATTTTTACTAAATTGTAATTCTGACTTATAATCTCTTTTGAGTTGGGTTCATTTCTCCTACTGATTTACCTTTAAACCAGCA